GTTTATAGTCACTTTAGCTGTGCTTTCCTTATATACCATCTCTGTACACTGCCTTGTGCATTTTTCGCGACTCGTCGATCTAGGAGCGTTTACTGCTGTGCCATTTGGCAAAGCAGTCGCGTGAGGGCAGGAAGCAAAGGGATACGTTGCAAGGGGAGCAGAAGACATTCGTTCTGTTCTGTATCTTTGTTTTTTTTTCGTAGGAAATCTTGAAATTTCTCCTCTTGTTTCTTTTCGGTTGGTGCCGAACGGGGATCCAAGGGGGAGGGGGGGGAGAAGGGAGCTTGAGCTTGTGCGACTTCGTCGTGTTCGAAAATCTGCTGAATTGATTCTTTCCTAAATGCAAGCTAGTCATAGTAAGTGCTTCGAGAAAGTTCTGGCTACTGATGGGTTCTCTTTTCGGTACTCCTGGAACATTATATAAGGGTTGATGCAAGCAACGTTCACACAATGAAAGAACAGTGTCTTCAACTAGTAATTGGTCTGACTTGTCAACACCTAACATTCCGCTATTATATTCATGGACAAGGCGTGGTTTTCTTATGACTCTGAGAGCCCACTGGGTCCCCCTCTTTTCGCTTTGTTTGGCAGGAACATGCTGATTTGCAGTGTGCATAGTGCTTATGGGGTTTCCAGCACACCGGTCCTTCTACTGCGTGTACAGGATGTTACCATCCCGGATCCATTACACATCTCCACTATGTGCCTTCTTTTCCTAAAAAGAGTCCAACTCAACTGGAAAACATCGGCGGTCTTTGCGAGTTGTCCCGCATGCAAGGGTCTTGTGTTCGAGGAGGTGTTCGAAAAGTCTTTTTGAAGTATAAAAATTATCCACATAAATTTTGTAGCCTTGGTTCAGGTACACTGCGCAAAGCATGTTCACCACGTCGAAGGCTGGACCATGTGGTCCTGGTGCCTCCCGCTTTCCAGTATACACAAAAAATTGCAGGTTGCATCCTGTTCTCGAGTTCGCCAACACCCAGAGTTTATACCCAAATTTTGTCACCTTGTCTCGAATGTGCTGCCTGCCCTGCCGTGGTGGTCTAGTGGCTAAGGTACTCGGCTACATTTCCGATGGAGGCGAAAATGTTGTAGCCCTGTGTGCTCAGATTTGGGTGCACGTCAAAGAACCCCAGGTGGTTGAAATTCCGGAGCCCTCCACTACGGCGTCTCTCATAATCATAGCGTGGTTTTGGGACGTTAAACCCCACAAATCAATCGAATGTGCTGCCTGATTCCCGATCATGTTTTAGATTTAACCATGCGCTCATCAACTGAGAGGTCACGCTGTGGTTGGAAGAAGTTCACAGATTCCTGATTGATGGGGCGCAATAGCCAGGACACCCTCCAAGTCTTCCCATCCGAAGCCGCAGCTGCCATGTCTTTCGGATCCCCTACACTCGGCAAAGAGAGCAGCGTGAAGAAACTGTCCCTTGGCATCACATTTTGTGGCAAAAGGCCACTGAGTATTCCTGATGCCCTCCAGTACAAGTGCAGTCGTGGCACTTCAACAACTCTCATAAAGGATAATCCCAATCAATCTCAGCATCTCCAGTGGCGTAACCTCCTCCCAAGAGCCGTCACATCGAGCGTAGGTTTGCCGTTCCAGAATATGCATCCATGCATATTTATTTCTGTTGTCACACAGTCTTTATAACTTCTGGCGTAAAAAACAGCAGAAGAAAATCTAGTGCTCCCGAGAATCAACGCGCATAGTTTCGCAGCGTTGCTCCGACATCAGCACCGGGTTCTCTTGTGGGTGCAAACTTGATGCGGCGTGCTGTATTCGGCAAAATATCCTGGCCATAGGTTGTTGAGACCTTAAACGGAAAAATAAAACCGGAGTCGTCAAATTTGAAGCGCGTTCTTGCGCCAATAAAGCGCGTAGCCAATAACAAAGTTTACCTGCGAGCACATGTTGCGTCCGAGGCGCCTGAACGGGAACATCTTCATGTGAGCTCGAATCTGACGGTCCCACATCGTTACTCCATTCATCACTGCTGCTTGGATCATGAACATCAGCAGTTGAAGCAGCCAATTTGCTCACAACAGAAGTCTTATGTCACGACGCGAACGTGGCGCCATTCTTGCCAAATACAACGCGACCTTCGGTTTATCTTTTGCTTTCGACGGCGCATCCATACGCAAAAAAAAAAAACAAAAACTGAAAGAGTAGTTCTCACTTAACATGTCAGATGGTGTTAGTTGACAGTGGTGCGCCAGGTTTAAATTTTGCGGTAGATTCAAAATCATCGGAACTCCGTGTTAGGTGTCCTATGGCGCCGTACTGAAAAAGTTAATGCTCCTTGTTGCCATATCGCCCACACTGCCAGCCGTATACATATTAACTGGCGAACCTCCTAGTTCTTTTTCTCCACTTTGTGTCCACGCTCTTTCTACAAAAATACCTGAACACTTTCCCTGCCCATCTACTCTCCTTCATTTTCCTAAGCCTCTCTTCAAATCTCGTTTTGCTCTCAGCTTTCCTTACTTCAATGCCTGTCCGTCTCATATCCTCCTTTGCAGCCTCATTTGTCGTCCTCCCGTGAGAACCTTACGCGAGACGTCCCACATTCCTTTGGTTTACATCCATTCCTGATGGCACCTCTGACTTCATACACACCACTGAGTTCCCTAATGTAATGCGATTCCCTCGCCATTGTGCAGCGCCCTGACCTCCCGGCGTAGCCCGTCAGTCAACTTTTCCTTTCACGCGCGCTCTTTTGTTAGAGAAAATGACTCGGCAGGTTGCACCATAGGCGAGAGATCGAGCGTCTGTGGTAGACATATCGTAGCTAATAAGCACACAGCGAGTAAAGGTCACAAAGCTGTTCTTGCCAACCGACGGCTACTTCCTGCGAATATGAAACTTTAAAACCCAACCATGTGCACGCCATTTTCGAGCGGCGACGACAGGATTTGCTGTCGCGAAGGGGTATCGCGTCGCAGGTTTCTAGCAAACCAGAAAAAAATCGCTTGTTGCCCAAAAAAATTGTGACGGTTTCCGCAACATGATAGCACCCCGATTCTCGCTTCGCTTGTTATCTGCGCATACAGGAACTTCTCGTGTGAAAGCTGTATTTTGTCGTTAATCTTGTTACCGACAGTTTGTTTTGATGCTTCGAGGTTTGCTTGCTGAAATGTTGGTTACTTGCTACAACGTAAATGGCAGCGGCGCGGTTGTCATGTGAGGTTGCTGCAAAGTTGGCATTGGCAAAGCGCGTCGTAGCGCACGCATCTGGACACCTCTTGAGATCACAGCAGATACCACTGTTGTGGTTAAATTGTGAGAAAAGATAGCCGCAAAACGCTCTTATGGCGTGTGCGGGCGGCGCGGGGACAGCTTGCAAAAAATAGCACCATCAACCACCGAAGATGAGTAAAGTGCAAAAAAGAAGCTGTTTTCAAACTGTGTACGCGCATATGCCAATTGCAAAAGGCTTAGCAATATAACTTTTTTTTTATTGCATTACCATATTTTTTGCTCTTTTTTACCTTGCTCTGATTTTTTCGAGAAAAAAACTTCATTCATTAGGCGTGTAAATACGGCATTCCAACAACAAGCTTTATCAAACGTGCATGTGTGACTGCACATGTTTGTGCTTATGTGACCATTGCATATACCATGGTTGTCACCGGGCACCTTAAGAAGCAAGCCAGGCAATAAACCAGGCCAGCATCTCCAGGATTACCATTGAACAATGCTATTTATGTAAGACAGCAATTCTTAATCTCGGGTAGCGCGAAGAGTTTTTGCATGTGCTGCCATAACAGTGGAGTTAAATGCACTGTAGAATATTTCACGTAAGACATGGTGCATATGGCTGTGCTGGATGTAATGTCCGTTGTGCCAAGAAAAAAAAAATGAAAGCATTGATTTTCCAACCAGGTGCAGTATCTTTCACTGCCGAGTTCTTATGGTCATTGTCAGCCTTGGTAGTCTCGATAGTCAACTGGAGGAGTCTGATTGCTGCCTCGTAGTGTTGTATGGAATAACGGGCAAAGCCTCACTATGAAGCTGAACTGACTGTCCCAATCCTGTCAAAACAGTCGGGCTCATTTCTAACAACAGCATTTAACCATATGGTGTAGTAGCGCAAATTCACGGGGACGAAGAGGACAAGAAAACACGACACTCGCTACACTCGCAACTAATTTTTATTTCAGAAGCAGCACTTCATATATAACCCATAACCCTAGCGACACAGAAAAGAACTACGAACACTGAATCATTGCCAACAGAAGCTTTGCGCAGACTCAAGCGATAGTACACGGCAGTTAAGCTTAGACACTTTTAGATGACATAACTAAAACAGCCCTGGGTAACATCAAATAAAAAAAAGGCTGTTTTAGTTATGTCATCTAAAAGTGTCTAAGCTTAACTGCCGTGTACTATCGCTTGAGTCTGCGCAAAGCTTCTGTTGGCAATGATTCAGTGTTCGTAGTTCTTTTCTGTGTCGCTAGGGTTATGGGTTATATATGAAGTGCTGCTTCTGAAATAAAAATTAGTTGCAAGTGTAGCGAGTGTCGTGTTTTCTTGTCCTCTTCGTCCCCGTGAATTTGCGCTACTACACCATATGGTTAAATGATGTCTCACCAACTAGCCCAGCTCTCAACCCTTCTAACAACAGCCTTCTCTGTTTCGGGGTGTCAATAATTCATTGGCAATGCTTGGCAATGTCATGAGCGAGACAGAAATGTGGTCAGGTGACCCTGCAAACGTGGAGTGAAGGGCATGATTTCTTTTTTCTTAATCTTCCAGGCTGGATAGCTTCAAAATGTGTCTCTATTACTGTCACTGTTGCCACACTAATCTGTCCATCCTTGTGTTTGTGCAACGGTCAAATAAAATGTAGCAGCTTGGATAATGTTAGTGGACCCCTTGGTACTGGGGTGCATTGCGCCGCAGTACCTTGAGTAGCAATGTGCCAACTTGCTCAACATTGTAGTATATTCTGCTTACTGGCCTAACTTTATGGAGACTCAATTGGTGTTTGCAGACACAACGCGAAGCATCTACGAGAAGCGCCTTCAGAGGTACCTCGACAAAGGTGCCACTCCACGGCCTCTTGCCAGTCCCATGAACAACAACACGGCCGAGTTCTCAGCTACAGAGGAAGAAGCTGAGAATGATAATGAGGACGACTACGAGGGCACTCCATTGCAGGACGTCCCACCGTCTAGGCTTGGGCTCGAGTAAGCTTGCACATCTACCTGCTATTCATTTGTCTGTGTGTATAGGATAGACCGGATGAATGTACAGGTTATGGTGTAACAAGAACCAAGTATTTTTGAAGGTGTGGTTTTGTCACGGATCTCGGAGGCCATTGTTAGTGGAGATAGATCATGTGGATGCTGATCGGCACCGCAAACAAGGTTTATTTACAAGGACAAAAACTAAAAGAGAAAACTTCAACACTGAATAAACAAACAACAAAGAGTGAAAACTTGGAACGTTTCTGACAAAATCTCTAAAAGTAAGCTCGTCAGTTTTCAGTTGCACCTAACCATAGTCTAACTGCTGCCCCCAACTTCAGTCTGGCCACCTATGCCTCGTCGTCTGTTCGTAACCCTAATGAAAGTGCCTTACTTGGCTTCATCGATCGTTACGTCCAAACTTTTTTGTCTGACGCCGTGGTTGCCGACGGTCCTGCTGAAATTGTCACCCCGTTGCATCACGGTCACGCTGCGCTACCGTAAGCCTGTCCCAGGTTGCATCGGTGACGTGGCACTTTGTTGTCATCCGTTAGTCCTAGGATGAGAGCGGCCCTCTCAAAGTGACAGCGTGGTGTCTTGGGGAAATCTGCAGGCTTATGTTCGAAGGGGGACTGCGGCGGGTGCTTCCAGACTAGCCGAAAGATGCTACAGCACCTCCGCGGAGCCTCGCCCAAGCGCCGTGACGGCCTCCGAGGTCGAACATCCGCTGTGCCCATTGGTAGAACATAGCTACCAGTGCAACCGTTGTCTACTTTAGCCACGCAAGCAATCCCAGCTCATCGCGCATTCCTTTTGCATTACGGCTCTTGTCATGTGCTTCGAGCCATGTGCTACATTCTCCATGCACTTGTGCCTGTTCTGCGAGTGTCTTCTCCTTGCTCATGACAGGTTTATAGCTACTGAATTGCCTTAATGTCAGGTGCTTATTTGGGCATATTTTGATAGTAAGCAGTTAAAGTAATTTATGCAAAATACCCAACATCTACTTCATGGCGAAGTGCGCTTCAATGTATCATAGAGGGCATTTCTAAATGCGTTTTCGAACAGGACAGATGCTATTGGGCTCGCATCGGAGGTTGTATCGACACTCGTGCGAGCCCAGTAGAATTCTCCTTTTACCAAATATCAAAAGAAACCCGAACGTTCACAGTTTCGTCAGTGTTCATGCCATTGAACTCTTTCACTACTGTGCCTGTTCAAATAATTTCATTTTGAACGACACATATTAAGTTTAAATTTTTGTGTGCTTGCGTAGTTTGCCGGTTCCTAGTGCCATCTAGGTAAGAAAATAAGAAACACACAGGATTCACTGTGTTTTGGTTGCTTTTTTTTTGCTTTCGGGAAGTTTTCCTTCGCCACTTACATGAGTGTGCCTATCATGGCGTCGTTTTCTCATGTGGGCAATCCTCAGATACGACGCATTTCTCATGAATCGAGCACATCAACAGCAGATTTTGAGGGTGAAATCGGCAACAGTGAGCCTGGAGAGCATGTTGACACATGAAATTTCAGCGGCGATGACGAGGATGCGTCGCATCAAGCCGCAACATCGAGTGAGTGTCGGCTAAATGTGTCGCGCACTTTTTGTTGTCTAATCAGTAGTTACTGGTGGCAGAGTGTGTACTCGCGGTAATTTTGGTCATATTGAGGGTCTCGCCGTCCTACGCACATGATTCCTTGCCAGCATCTATCAAGCGTGTGCAGTTTCTTTCGAGAGAAAACCTGGGTGGTCGAAGTCGAACGTGTGCTGCAGAGTAATGCACGAAGGTTTATCTGGGCCGTCAATTTCTTCCAGTTGTCTTTCACTGCTCAGCTAACCGGCATGATCTGTGACTACATCAACAAATATGTGTGGATGCATATTTTAGAGAGGCAGACATGCGCAGAAAGAGGCGGTTCGTGGAGGAACTTCAGTCCTGACCAAGTGATGAAGTGCATTGGAAGGCTCGTCTACATGGAATTGAGTTGCCTCGCCTTCATCTCTACTGGAATACCTCAGTTATTTTCCGGCGTTATTTTTTTAAGGAAGTGGAAGGAAAAAGACATTCATCAGTGTGCGTACTTGTGTATAAGCGGACATGCTACTTGGAAAAGGAAAGTTTCTTTAGTCTATAGTCTAGAGCAATAAAATTATCACTGTATATTACAGCTTTTGTGCATTTGTGCAGATTTCAAATATGTAATGAGTTTTATAAGCTGTCCAGTTTTCAACTGGCAAAATGCAATCTGTGAAATACAGGTTATTGGACAAACTGTTTTTGTCTCTAAACTTTCATGGTTCCGAGTCATTAACAGCTCACATTGATTTGCAATAACTGTAGAGTGCAAATAACTAACAAGAAATAACATAACAAATGTTCTAATGGACAAAAAAATTTTAATGTAACACGTCTTAGAATGCTCAGTTCATACTAATTGTTTACTTTAGGCTTGATTTAATTATGTAGGCATTATAAAGTTTTAAAGGAAATACTTGCACTATTCATATGTTAAGAAATATGGGGGTGAAATTTCATCCTGATCTGACTATCAGAAGTACCAAAAACATGGTGTCCAAACTCGAGAAGTTGTCCAAAAATGAATCTTGAGGAAAAGGAATTCAAAGGTATAAGTGAACGCTCACCTATGTTGCAAAGATATGTTTGTTAAATGATGTATTCCATCATGAGAGCTTGCGAATCATGGTTATTTTGAGCATGTGGCTTTGGTGAACTGCTCATGCAAAATGCAATAGCAAGCAGCCAGGTGACAGTTTCCAAAAGTCTTACACAATGAGCTTTTTTCTAGTTTTAGTAGCCACTTTGTGCTCTTTTATTGTCATATTTTAATGTCACAGGATAACCCATCTACTGCTGCACCTTAACTTTTTTTTGTGTGTGTGGAAAGGATAGTTCTTGGCAATAGTTTTTGAAGCTTGTGCTACCTTTTTGCAGCATTAATGGTAAAATCATTATATGAACTTTTCATTAAAACATTTTCAGTAAATATTTATTCAATATCCATGTTATTGGGCAGAAATTTTTTTTTTTTTAGTTTCAGTTTAGTACCAAAGAATATAAGACAGTGTCTAGCTGCAAAAAAAAAAAAATGTTTTTACGCCTAGTGAGAACAGCCCCTTTTTCCGTGGTAGCGGAAGAGTGAAGCAAGCCATAGTCAAGTATGAGGGAGACGACAACAGGTGATTTTCAGAGAGCCCTTGAATAGTTGGAATGGCATTATGTATTGATGTATTGATTCTCCAGGAAAATGTATGGAGGAACCTAAAGAACATATGCTAATCGAATCCGTAGTTGTTTTTTTTTTTTTTTACAAGACCCAGTTTCATTACTTGACGAACGTACCCAGTACGTCCGAGCGTGGCCATGTAGTGTTTGGCAGCTGTGTTTCGTACCTGCTTATCTTCAGTGTCTACATTTAGCAATGCGTACAAAATCACGGGTGGTCTAAATGTCAGGAGCGCTTCAGTACGGCTTCCCTCATAATGGTGTTGTGGTTTTGGGACATTAAACCTTAACATTTGCTGTTATTTTCAGTGCCAGTGGCTCTCATCTTAGCTATGGCAGCTCCTACGGTGGAGTGTTTAGCTCATCTGATATCATGGAGGGCCCCCTGACAAGCCGGACGAGCACATCCTTCACAGGTGCCAGCCCCCCACTGCAGATGTCGCTGCGCAACCGGGCTAAGTGAGTGCCAACACTTCTCTCGCATGTCGTTCTTGGTCTGATTAGTATGTATAAAGGGCAGGGGTGCAACAAACAGCCGCGCCGATTTGATACAATTTCTCATTTGTGTGCCGAGGTGCGCCAAAACCATGAAATTTGTCAAAATTGCACCATGCTGTGCCAAAATGGCTGACCAGCTTCGAAATTTTCTCAGTTGCCCTAATTTCAGCAAAAAGTGGAAGCCACTTTGGCCACTTGTAGCTTGCATTATAAATCAATCAATCCAAGCGGGCAGACCCTAAACTGCAGTGTAATTGCTCATTAGAGAAAGACACTCGCAAAACGCGATCGACCAGATGAAGTAACAATGCTGTGTGCCCATCAGTCCGCTGGACGCAGCGTCAGACAAAAATTTGGATTGGCGGGATGACGCACCGTCAAGACAAAACTTTGTCGCCATAGTCGGCAAACGTGGCCATGGCATGTTAGAAACCATTAGGAACTAAAGCTGGAGGCGTACATACTTACAGTACGTTGAGTTTGTACGCTTCCAGCTTTAGTCAATGCCATGACTGCGTTAGTTGCCATAGCAACGTCACATGAGATAGCTATCCGGTGCCGTTGCCAGGCTAACGGGCGGGTGCCCTTGTTACTTTATCTGGTCAAATGCGCCTTGCAAGCAAGCCGAAAAATTGTCCTAAATGCAGCCCCTCCATGTCAAAAAGAAGGGGAGGGGGGTAGTGGTTTGAAAAAATTCTTGGTCTTGTTCTAACCCATGCAAAAACACTGCTGGAAAAGTGCTGGAAGTGTTTGGAAGACCAGGCAAACACTCTGGGAGTGCACTTCGAACAGGTCTCCAGCTTATCACACTATAGTGAAGCGTTCCGAAGATACAAAACCAAAATAGAAAAAGCGAGATTAGAGCGCAAGCCTACAACATATGAGGCATACAATGAACCATTTGTTTGGCTGAACTATAAGCCTCGCTCACCTGCTGCAATGAATTTGCCCCGGGCCCGCACCGTGTGGCACAGGAAATGTTAAAACACCTGCCCACTGAAACTCGGAAGGCTCTCCTGTTTCTGTATAATGCGATATGGTCTTCCAGCGAGCTACCCTCAGCCTGGAAGGAAGCTATCGTTACCCTAATTCTGGTTATCATTATCTTAAATCCAAGAAACAGGAGTGCCACAAGGAGGTGTATTGAACTGCACACTTTTCATAGTTAAAATGAATTCCTTGCACCTGTCTCTCCCACGTAATATTTTTACTGCATATATGACGATGACGTACAGATTGGTACCAAATCGTGCAACATATCAATGTTGCACGATTTGTAACCTGATGAATGTATATAAAAGCCTCGTACGCACACGCCTAGATTATGGTTCTCTAACCTATCAGTCGGCAACACCATCAGCTTTGAAGATTCTCGACCCTGTCCACTATCTAGGAATTCGCCTCTCTACGGCTACTTTTCGTACTAGCCCTGTAGAGAGCCTGTACGTGGATTCGAATGAATTGTCGCTCCACCTACAAAGATGTTACCCGTCTTTTTCGTACTTTCTGAAGGTGAAGGCAGACAAGAAACGCCCCTCTCATTTCAGAAGTAATGATTTGTCTTGTTCTGGCTTGTTTGAGAACCGTCCTTCGTTGCAGCAGCCCTACTCGCTTTGTGTAAGGGGCCTGGCCGAAGAAACAGGTGTGCATCTTCTCGAATACAGTTTGATGGCTCCTGCAGCGTATCTGCCACCGTGGCAGTGGCAGCTTATAGACTGTGATGTCTCTTTTGTTGAAGTCGCAAAGCACGCACCACTTGCACACTTACATACATACTTCCTAGAACTACAACATAAATACACATGCCCCGAGTTCTTTACCGACGCCTCAAAGTCCAAAACTTCTGTGTCATATGCAGGGGTAGGCCAATCCTTTTCCAAGGCCGGCGTTCTTCATCCTGATGCAAGCATTTTCACAGGAGAACCTTACACAATACTGGCGGTCGTAAAACACATCAAACAAATAAAATTACAAAAGGCGGTAATATACACAGATTCCCTAAGTGTGGTCAAAGCCCTGAAAACTCCTAAAAAACGCAAGAACCCCATGCTGATGTCACTTTACTCACTTCTGTGCACACTGCACACATCAAAACAGCATGTCATTGTCTGCTGGGTGCCAAGGCACTGTAAGATACAAGGAAACGTTTTGGCCGACAAGCTGGCTGCTTCCGCCAACGACACTACTTCCAATGCATCATTACCAATCCCTGCACTTGGCTTGAAACCCTTTCCAAAACGAAAACTCGGGGTATTGGCAGAGCAAGTGGGATAGACACACAGACGATAAACTCCATGCTAATAAGCCGCAACTAGGTAATTGGCCGCCACTATCAAAATCGCGACACACAGAAGTAATGCTGACAAGACTTAGAACAGGACTCTCTACATATTCATATCTTCTATCTACCGGCATTCCACCATATTGTGAGAGATGTGGAGAACCACTTACGGTTCTCCGCATTCTTGTCCAGTGCAACGAGTTGGATGCTCTAAAAAAAAAAAACTTTTTACTGCCCTACCGACAGCAGCTTCCACTACACCCTGGGAGGCTCATCGGTAGGGATCCGCTTTTTAAACTGCAATCACCAGCGGAAAGACTGCGACCCCCTACCCCTTGAAGGTGATTACGCGAGAGCCAGTAATCCTCTTGAAGGGGGAGGGTTTGCATTCTTGCCGTTCTATATCAGCAACAAATGGTTGTTTCGCTCACCATGAGATGACCCGAAAAGAGACTGCGGTTGCTCTCGCTCCCGCTTGAACGCGCTGTTAGGAGCCGCCAAGGTGCGCAGGCCACCCGTTGCAGTGTTCCCTTTCATAAAAATTGACTTCGTTCGTGCTCACCGCGAACTTCGCTGCTTGCGCCCAGATAAGGGGGCTGCTCAAGGGCAAATGCGCATCGCGCGAAACGGCAGTCTAGCACGACAGCGCTTTTTCTAGCTTGGGATGCGCTGCCGTTCGAAGCCTCTTCCTTTGGTCGCCAAACATGTCCCTGTCATACACTTGCATAATGTAACTAAAGCGCAATTATATCCTAAGTGATCGTCGAGCCGTGAACACGTCACGAAGTAGCGATTTTCGACAGCCATGTCCTCGTGACCCACAAGCACCAGATGACCGTCTCCTGAAGCGAGCATTGGGCCAATGGCGAGGCGATCTTGCGCAACATGGCAGCCATAGCCAATCAGGGGCCTCGAAATGACCTTGAAATATTTGCTTTTTGTGAGGTTTTTTTTTTTTTAAGGGAGAAGCCAGCTGAGGTGGAAAATTTGAACACTGAGAAACGCTCCTTCCGGTGAGCCCAAGAAGACTGTTTCCGGCCGCGCCCTTGCAAAGCTACGATTTTTTGAAAATCAATGTTTTCTCGCCATTTCCAGATAAACTTTTGCTACCCAGGAGGGTGAAACGAATTTTTCGAAGCACTTGTGCGCGGTTTTTAGTGTAGATATTTTGGAATCGGATAGAAAAAAATTTTCTAGAAACTGGAAACTTTATTTTTAAAAAATCTATTTTTTGCCATTTTTTTGCGATACCAAAGCCGCGCCCCTGCTTAATAAAAGATGTCCCAGTGGTGGGAAGCCTGCGTCAACTAAAAATTATTGCGCCATTGCTGCACCAAGGGGGGGGGGGGTTGGAATCGAAAGTAATGTTGACAACATGCATCATGAGCGGATATTACTTGATGGTCGCCATCTTATGCACCTAGGCTACTGGAAAAGCACAAAATCAGCCGGTTAATCATTCAGACTTCCGCGCTATAGCAGCGGTGCCTTTTCTCGTAATTTTTTAAAGAACAAAGATGATGCGTCGACTACCAAAAAGCGCACCAGTATGACTTATCAGTGACAGAAAGCCTACATATGTGGTGTAGCGCGGCTTTAAGCCTACTACACGCTTTCTAATAGCCGGCGACTACATGAGAGGGCAGAGGCGCTTATTGCTGCCGCCTCAATCGTTGTGCGGGACAGTGTTCAGCATTGTTGCCTCATGAAGTGTATACACTTTCATGAGGCGACAGCCCAAGTACGCCCGAGTCTGCTGCTGGGGCCGCTAGAGGATCACTTGCAGAAAGCTCCCATCTGTGCATGGTCTGAAGTGGAGTGGGCGCAAGCGGTTCGGCATAGTGTGTACACCAAGTAGGCAAAGTGCTGCATGCAACTAGCCAGTAGATGATCGGCTCCCTGCGACTGTACCGCGTCTCGGAAAAGCTGTGTCAGTTTTCGCTAAGTAGCATATTGTCACAAACGGCCAATTGTGTCCGTTTCGTCGCTATGTCACTCGCTGCGTTGGCTGCGTATTCCGAACTCTGTAGTAGTTTTCAAATGCTCTTTGGTATCGTCACCGCGTGTCATCAGTGGGTCGTACAAGAATGCCAATTATTTCGGAACATTGGCGAAAAGAAATGGCTTCGTGTTGGGCACTTTAGGCATTATTTTCTGTGGCACTGTACTCATTCCTTCTTTAGCACTCGCGGTGCTTGTAAAGAAATGCAAATCGGTACGTGGTCATAGGCGTGTGCACTAGGGGGACAAGGCCAGCCCTATATTTTACATGATAGGGGGGGGGGCTGCGACATACTGCCCTCCCCTCCCCCAGAAGGGAAACCTGCGCATGCTTATGTACTCGGTGGTCAATTCATACAGTCGACGTCCGATATCCCGGACCCTCAAGGGGCCGCGAAAACGTCCGGACTTTTTTAGTTGCTATTTTTCACTGACGGAGAGGGTCACGGCAGGAGTACAGGATTCTCATCGCAATTTAGCAAATGCATTGTTTAGGCGGCACAGAAAAGAGACGTTTATATATGCATATATGAAAAAACTACAAAAGAAAAAAAGAAAAACCTTTTATGTGGCCGGCGCTACCGTATTTGTAAACGCTTAGGTGCCAAAAAAGAACAAAAGTCTCTTATTTTTATTTTTTGCGGCACTGAACTTGCCCACCATGATGTCTGCCTCAATT